AGGCACGTTGCTCACTACCGGAATAGATGTTTATAAGTACACCGCCGCCGAGCCCCATGCTTTGCATGGCCAGCAGTCCGTTGCAGAAGAGTGAGGCAATGGCTGCATCGACGGCGCTACCTGCCGACTTCTGCATTATATCCCTGAGGGAAGCAAAATTATTTACCAGTTGAGAATTCCACGACAACAAAAGGCTACAAGTTGTATGCGAGTATATGTACGGGTAATTACCTGCCGATTCTGCTGCAAACATCGCTGTCGGAACACACCGCACCGTTTTCATATTCGTATAGCGGTGAAAACGAAGGAGGCTGCGGCGTTTCCGGATTGGGTGGCCGCAATGCCTGAATGTTTTGCAACGAAGAACTTCTTTGTTTGGAGAGTTTGTAGAAAAGAAATACTACAGCGCTGAGAATGATAACAACTCCGTGCATTAAATTCATCACTAAAACGTGATTTAAAATTTCGTAAAATAATTGTTTGAGCAATTAATTGGAGAATATTTTTTCACATTGTTTATGTTGGCACACGATTCGATAAAGTAGGAAACGTCAAATAAGGAAGAAAATATCCTTTGAGTTGTGACATGCGCATTGTGAAAGGACTTTTTAGCAAAGGAAAACTGCTGTATATGCCAGCGCCTGAAAAGAGAGTCGGCAATGGCGTCAAAGGAAAATTCGTATTGAGCTTTCTTGAAAGGTAATGCATTCTTGGGACTGAACTGTACATAAAAGCGAAGAGTAGTGCCTTGCGAAGCCTGTCATCTTCCTTACTAAAAGTAATAAAAAGGTAGGCCCTCTCTGCTTTTGCAGACAACTCGTTGAATTTTGTAGAAAGAACAACATCCATATAGACGGCTGAGTGGAAGAGCGACCTATCTCTATATAAGAGCTCCCTGATTCAGAACTCGGTTGAAGAACGCGTTATCTCAGCAAATGGTTCAAAACGACCTATATCAGTTGCCGATATATTGAATTTACATAGAGGTAGTGCGTTCTTGAAAAATTTGCTGAGATAGGGCGTATTCGAACCGGCTACCGAGATAGGTCGATCAGTCGTCGATATGTTATAAAAGTCATCAATAAAATCAGTCAGCGACTTTTACTTTTAAAAGTCATCAATACGAATTAGTCACCGACTTTTATTTTTTAAATCATTCGTATAAAAGTCGTTAACATCTTTCGCAGTTGAGAAGGTGTTGGGAAACAAAAGTTTACTACGACTTATACAAATGACTTTTATAAGTATGACTTAAAAAATAAAGGTAAGTGACTGATTTTTTTATTACTTTTATAAATAAATGTCTTCGATAAGTGTTATGTAGAACATAATTGAAAAATCAAAAATAACTGTTATTTACTGATTATTTAGATAAAATTTAAAAATAATTGTCATTTTGGTAAAAAAAAATAATTGTTAAAGAGCAATTTTTTTAATAAAAGTTTTAACTGTTACGGTCTCGGTTTATTACGCTTTCCAGCATCAGATTAAAAAATTATCATTGTACCAATAATATAATAATAAAAAAAAAATATATAAAAAAAAAATAACTAAGCTTAACAAAAAAAGCCTAAGTTAAATTGGGATTTTCTATAAATTGAAACGCTAATAAATAATGTTTTAGTACTCAAATTTGTGAAACTTTAAAAAGTAGCATAAAAAGCTTTAAAAAGTAGTTCCCAGTTTAATTAAGGCATAAAATGTAGAAAACAGTTAAGTTTTCGCAGGTTGGAAAGGAAAAACGAGCCCACCTTTTCATTATCGAAGCATCGATTTCGAAATAATCAATTAAAAATCAAGTCCTTAGAAAAAACCGTTAAGGCGGCGACACAAGTTAGAAACACTTCCATAGTCTCGTTTCCGATCAGCTTATTTGAAAAAACAATGACTACTTACCAATAAGTTAATCTTAAAATGCGTCCTGCCATATTTAAAAATCATGTTTCGCTTGTATTTTAATTTTTTTATATTTTAAAGCTTTTCGTCAGTTTGATATATTAAAAATGTTTTGAATAAAAACGCACTTTATTAGGTGGTTTACAGCAAATACTTTTTCAGTACCAAGTTAAATACTCATAGTTGCGTGAAACAATTATTTGATTGATTTGAAATTGGAATTCAGCAAAAATTACAGTATTCNGACGCGTATTTTCCCTTCCAACTATTATATCCTACTACAGAACACAGAAAAAAATTTTATATTTTTAACCGACTTCACAAAGGGAGAAAGGTTTAAATACGATCATCGGATCATGAAGAAATTAACGATAATCTTAAATTTTTACATGAATATTGAAGTCGGTTTTGTTTTTCGCTTAAAAATTACTTGTAAAATTTTGAAATTTTTAATTAAAATTATTATTTTTTTTTTTAATTTTGAAATATTCGTGGATGTCTGTATTTTGTACGTAGAATAAAATAAAAGGATGCCCCATACAAAATATAGACGTAGATATTTTAAGTACCACCCTAATATGTGTGTACATAATTGCATACATATGTAGGAAAAGCATTATTTTCTTCTTCTCATTGACTTTGTGGTAGATAATAAATAATCTCGCAATGTTTTTTGTTTTTTTTTTTTGGACTTAGCGCACACTTATTTATGTATTTATGTATATGTACTACATATTGAATACATACATACTTTTGTAAAAAATTTGAGAATTGATTGTTGTGCTTTTAAAAACCAGCTACGCCGCCACGTTTTCTAAAGTCCGCATTCGCGTATATCGCCGTATCATTTCTCGCAATGGCGCACACCACTGAGCCAATATCCTTGTAGGGTTGCAACTCGTGTCCTTTCGCCTTCAGCAGCTGCAATACTTCCTGTGGAATCGAAACAACTTGTTTATAATTTTCAATACATTTTTCTAAGATTTATGTGATTCACTTACCTCACTAAATTGACCAAATTCGTATTCTACTAATCACTACGGTCTACCAGCGGCACCTACCAATTTTATTGACGCACGCAAGCGACCCATGTCGTCGATGTCACCAATGATTTTGACCGATCAGAAAGGTAATGTGCGTTTGGTTTTGGGCGCTGCCGGTGGTTCGAAAATCATATCAGCTGTTGTTGAGGTGGCGGCGCGCTTCCTATGGTTCGGGCAGGACATCAAGTCGGCCATTGATGCGCCACGTATTCATCATCAACTCTTACCAAATGTTTTGC